GTCTCCAGGCAGGGCGCGACCGGTCCCTACCACCCACCAGCTGTTCTGCAGCCCAGGCCACCTGCCACTCCAAGGACGCCGCTCCGGGGACCGCCGCGTGCGCAGGAGCCCAGACTGCGCAGTCGCCCCGTGTGGCAAACGGCTCCCGGCCCCGGAGCTTCAGCCAACATTTCCCAGTCATGGGACTGCACGACCGGGCCAGTTCAGCCCAGACGAGCCGCACTTGCTTCCAGGCTACCGGCTGGGGTTGGGCCAGCTCCCTGTGACCCTCCTCCTTGGGCCAGTGGCTGCCCAGCCTGAGTTTGTCCAAGTCAGCCCGCCAACCCCGCCTGCGCGCCCGGAGCCTCAGCGCCGCGTCCGGGGCCGACAGCAGGTGCCCAGCGGACGGGAGGCGCGCTCCGCACCGGCAGGCAGCTCCCGGCCTGCGCTCGCACACGCATTCCAGGACCCACCTGTCGACTTCGAAGGCAGGAGGGAAGGAGGGAAGGAGGGAAAGCTGGCTGGGACTTTGACGGGGATCACCTTGAAGGGGCAGACCAGTTTGGGGAGAATTGACACCTTTTGTATTCGTGTCTTTCAAACCATGATCATGATCTTCTCCATTTAATTAAAGCTCAACCGCTTCTTGGTGTTCTGTGGTTTTTCAGAGTTGGGGTCTGGTGCATCTTTCATTAGAAATCCTCCCTTTAGGCTGTTGGTAGCTTTTTTTTTTTTTTTTAAAGATTTTATTTATTTATTTGACAGAGAGAGACAGCGAGAGAGGGCACACAAGCAGGGGTAGAGGGGGAGGGACAAACAGGCTCCGCGCTGAGCAGGGAGCCCGATGCGGGGCTCGATCCCAGGACCCCGGGATCATGACCTGAGCCGAAGGCAGAGGCTCACTGACGGAGCCCCCGGGCGCCCCGAGAGTGTCTCGTTTCGCACTATATTCTTAAGGCACAGCTTACGCGCACAGTGAGGACAGACCTTGAGCGCACACGGCTCCGTGTGCGAGGCCCACTCCCCCTCCCCCAGATGAGCACAGCTGACCTTGCTCACTGCAGAGGTCGTCGGAGACAGCACCGCCCCACTTAGATCGCCACACGCGCTCCGTGCCTGGCCTCTTCCAAACCGCAGGCCCCGGTGGCACGTTCACTTTCCGGGCAGAGGTGGCTGTGCGAGGGACTGAGGACGGAGGGCTGGGTCGCTTCCCGTTTGGAGTGATGGCCGAGTCTCTTGATGGCCCCGTGCCAGCGTGTGTGGACGCGTGCATCGGTCCCTCCGGAGTGGACACGGACTGGACTAGCCTTCAGGCCCTGCAGATGCTGCTGATGCTTCCGTTTCGCTGTGGAAGGAACGGGCAGTTTTCCAGGGCAGGGTCCGCGCGGGCGTCGCACAGCCTCCCTGCACGCGATCCGGTGAGATCGTGCTTTTAGCCCCTCCGGCAGGTTTGCAGTGGCGTCCCGCTGTGACTTTAGTCCGTGTTCCCCGGATGGCAGGTAAGGCCGAGCGCTCTGCCTTGCGTTTATTGGCTATATTTTCACAAAGTGCCTGTTTCTGGCCTTTGCCCATTTTTAAACTAGGTCATTTGTGTTTCTGTTACTTATTTGCTGGTTTTTTTTATATGCTATGCATTTATGTGTCAGCTGCGTGCACTGGGAATGTTTTCTCTGAGTCCGCGCTTGCCTTCTACCTTTCTTGGTGATGCCCTCTGAGAGGCAGACATATGTCACGAAGCCTGAGCGGTCAGCTTCCCCTCCTGTGACTAGTGCTTGGTCTGCTTCTGTGAAATAGCTTGGTCTGCACCTAAGTCACGAGGGCGTCCTCTGGTGGCTCCTTCTAGAAGCTCCGTGGTTGTGGCCTTCACCTTCCGGTCTGTGATGCATCCTGAGTTCGTTTTCGCTTGTGCTGTGAAGGGGTCAAGGACTGTGTGGTTTTCACAGTGATAACCAACAGCCCCAACACCATCGCGTGGCTTTGGCACCTCATCAGAAACAGACTCTCCAGAATGAACTCTGGAGTCCCTCCTCTGGCCCAGTTCTGTTCACCTGTCCCTTAACCAGCATCACGCTTGCGCAGGGCCTCAGGATCACAGTCCGGAGGGAAGCGGGGAGTGCGATCCCTAAGTTCCCCAGCACTTCCCGCCCAGCGTTGCCTCAGCTGCTCTCTGTCTTTTGAATTTTCCTATAAATTTTGCCATCAGCTTGTACATTTCTACAAGAAAGACCTGGTGGGATTCTGACTGGGCCCACGCCGCGTCCACGGACCATTTCAGGGAGAATTGGCGGCTGGGATACGGAGACTTTGATATCTGGGGGTGATGGACTCAACATTAATTTGGGTGTTCTTTGGTTTTCCTCTGCAATATTTTAACATACACAGTTTGAATCAAACGTATTCATACGTATTTGATGTTTTTGGCACGTTTATAAATGCATTTTTATAAATTTTGATACCTTAGGTGATTTTTTTTATCCTTTTTTTTTGGTGAGAACGTACGGAGTCTGCTCCCCGGCAGACCTCAGCTCTTCCGTCCGGTGTCGCCAGCTGCACCCTTTATATCACATCCTCTGACCTCACTCGCCTTCAGGCTCCACACGTGGATGTTTGACCAGCCTCCCCTGTCTCCCCTGCTCCTGGCCCCTGGTAGCCACTTTCTATTCTGTTTCTATGAGTTTGACTTTTTTTTCTTTTCAGATTCCACTCGTGTTACACGTGGTGCTCTAACTTTTGTTTTCCAGTCGTGTGTGCTGACATAGAATATTCCATTGGTTTTCGTACATTGATCCTCCAGCCCTACTTCTTGGTTCCAGCAGTTTCCAATGCCTTCGGATTTTCTACATAATCACATCACCCCTTTCTGCTCTTTATGTCTTTGTTTCTCATTCCTGCGCGATTGCACTGGCTGGAGGCTCCAGGAGGGACAGGGGCTGGCACCGTCCGTGGCGTCAGCGGGAGAATTTCCACTCTTACCACGTGGAGGCAGTTTGCTCGCTCGCTTGTGTGCTGAGAATGGTTTTCTTTTCTTCCTCCTTTCCTCCTTCCTCCCGCTCTCCTCCCTCCTTTCCTCGCTCTTTCCTCCCTCCTTCCCTCCTCCTCTCCCTCCTTCCTCCTTCCTTCCCTCCCTCCTCCTTTCCTCCCTTTGGCAGTGGTGGGCAAAGAGCTACTGTTCTGGGCCCATCGGCCTGCGTGTCCCCGACCGGTGCCCAGTGCATGCCTGACGTAAGGTACAGGCCCTGGTGTGTCCTGTGGGGCAGGCTTGTCCTAGCCCCCTCAGGGAGGCCTTGTTCCTGGGCTCCGGTTCAACATCTGCCTCAGGCTCCGGGAAGCTATGGGCTGCTTTGCATAGGTGCTGGGTCGCCCCACTTCCGTCCGCCCCACCCAGCACCTGGAGGAGTGACTCAGCCCAGGCTGTCGGTAGTGAGTGGCTCTGACAGGCATCGTGTCCCAGCCCGTGCTGCTCCTGGGGGCTGGGCGGTTGCTGGCTGGGGAATGCCCTGGCCCCGGGGCCGGGACAGCCTGGGCTGCAGGTGGCTGGGCTTCTGGGCCACCCGCAGCCTCGGGACTGACTCACAGGCCCCGCATAGCAGGGAGGGGAGGAGCCTGGCCAAGGTTTCAGATCTGTGGACAGATCTGCCTGTCTGTCCTGTCCCTGACTGCCCCTCCGCAAAAGGGCCTCCCTCACCCTGGGGTGTCAGGGGAACTGTGCGAGAACTCTCCCAGAGCAGCAGCTTCAGCACACCGCACGGCCTCTCCAGGTGGCTGGCCTGCTCACCCTTGCTTGTCCCAGCCACAGTGGTACACTCACCCAACAAGGCCACCACCTCCTGGGCCAGCAGACTGGTGTCCTGAGGGGCCGGTGCAGAGAGCAGCCTGCCTGGGAGGGGATGGCCCCCAGCCTGGGGGTGCAGAACAGCCTGGCCCTGAGGCCAGGGCTTACCCGTCAGTCCTGACGTTCCAGTCCCCATCGGAGCCCCTCCAGCCATGGGCCTGCCTGGGGCTCGGGGTCCTGATCCAGCCCACACCTGGATGCTACCCGGCCCTCTTGACATCCAGCTCTGTGCCCACGGCCCATCTTGGTCCCAGCCCGGAGGGGACAGGGCCTCAGCTCCAGGGGTCTGAGCACAGGCACACAGGGCAGCAGGACCTAGCGTCTTCCGGGCACAGCCTATGGCGAGGAGGGGTGTGGATCAAGAAGAGCTGGAGGAAGGGGCCCCTATTCCGGCGCCAGTGGGAGGGCCCGGGGAAGGGGCAGGATGGGGGCCATAGGTTGGGGTCCTGCAGTCCTCTCCATGCCCACGTGGCTCTAGAGCCCCCTCCCTCTGCGGGTCTGAGGGCACCCTTCTCCCTGGACGCCTAAGCAGGGCTGAGGGACAGTCCGGGGGAGCTGGGTGGGTGCCAGTTGGCCCTGCTCCTGAGGGTGACGCCCAGACTGGCTATGGGAAGAGGCTCGTGGCTGGTAACGGGGCAACAGGCTCCAAGGAGGCTGACTGCGCCTGTAGTTTCCTGCCGCAAGCCCTCTGCTTCCTTCCTAGGGGTGGAGGGCCAGGGCGTGGACCACTCACCTAGCCCACCTGGCTAGGACCGCCCACGCCCTCGGGGAGGGAGAGGGCTGTAGGGGCAGGTGAGCGGGGCAAAGGCGACCTCCCCTTTCCCCGCAGCCTTCACCCCCCCCACCCCCGACACGATGCCCCTGGACACCACCTGTTGGGCTTGAGTGTGGGTCTGGGGTTTTCTGAGGGCTGGGGAAAGAAGAGGGGGTTGTCGTGGGAGCGGGTGGGCTTGCGAGTCAGCTGGGACCAGACTTCCAGCTAGACGCTGGCCTTGCCTGGGGTGGCCGTGAGGTAGGCTGCCTTAGGGAGCAGTGTCAGGAACCGTTGAGTATGGCCAGGGCGTGGTCCCAGGGCAACAGGTCTCAGCGCCCAGGGCCCAGCTCTGGGATGGTGGGGGCGTGGCCGCGGCGGGAGGGCGCGGCCGCGGCGGGTGGACGCGGGCTCAGGGCTCCTCTCTCTCTCCCCAAGGGCAGCTCAGGGAACCCCCAGCGCCCTGCCTGGTGTGTGGCTCTCTGCCGCCCGCCCGGCCCTGCAAGCGCTGCCGCTCCTTCCGCGCCTCGGTCCTGCAGGGCGCCTCCTTCGTGCCCCTGGGCGGCGGGGGCGGCGGGGCAGGGACCCCGTGACACCAAGGACCTGCACACCGAGGACCAGGACGGGACAGACTAGCCTTAGAACGTGGCTAGTTTCTTTGGAAACTTCGCATAATGAGAGTCCTTGTATACAGAGCTATTTTAGCGAAACTGTGCAACTTCAGCATGGTATTTCTTCTGGAGCCCCCGCCCCAACCCGGGGCCAGCACCCCACATCCATACACCCATGTACCCCAAACTCACGCCCCATGTCCTCCCGCAGCACCCCTCCCTCACCGGAGGAGGACGCCCCTCGTGGGCTGATGAGCATGAGAAGCCCCCGCTCCAGAGCCCCTCCTTGCTAGCAGGCGCCCCTCCCAGGCTCGCAGCCCGAGGTCTCCCACAAGGCACTCAGTCACTCATTCATTCAACGAAAGTCTCATTTGCACCCAAGTGTCTCCTTCCAACCTGGGGCTGAGTGAGGGTGTGGGAGGGGGTGCCTGGGTCAGAATCCTCAGAGTCAACCCCAGTTGGGCTTCTGGGCCCTCTGGCCATCAGCGGGCTGCTCCGGCGGCAGAGATCCAGGGAGGGTGAGCCCCTGCAACCTCTCCGGGCTCAGGCTGGGGTGACCCAGCCCTCCAAGCCCACATGGAAGAGGAGGGGCTTGTGAGCAGTCGCCGCGGGCAGTTCTTTGTGGACCTCGGGAGGGTCCACAGCCCTCCCTTCCCAGATAAGTCCGGGGCCTGGAGGTGGGGAGGAACCTACCCCCCACCCTGGGCTGTTCCCCACCACGATGGCATGCGGCCGCACCTGCTGGCCACTTCTGGTCACCCGCGCCTCTTGGCGCCCGTGTCACCTTCACGGCGGCAGGCGTCTCGTCTGGCAGATAGGCCTGTCTTGGGGTGGCCACAGAGTGGGGACTCGGGTCCTGGGTGGCCACATGGCCTCCTTGCCCCAGGGAGAGCCTGTGCCCATGAGATCCCGTGGTACCGTGGCTCCCACCTGTCCCATGGTTACAAGCAGCTGTGTCCAGGCCTCAGAGCCTATGGAGCAAGGCCCGCATCTGGCCTGCATTGCCTGGGGCACGACGCTGTGTCCATGCAACGGGAGCCCCTTGGGGTGGCACACTTTCTTCTGACTCACCCCATCTGGCCGACCCAGAGGCCGAGTGTGCTGGAGGAGGGCTGGCCCAAGGACAGTGGGGGGTGGGCTTTCCCGGGGGAGGCCGGACCTGCAGGCCTGTGCTACTCAGCACATCAGGCTCTCTCCCTCCTGGGTGTGGTGGCCTCCCGAGCGCTGGGGAGGTGGGGGCTGGAGTTCCACCCCCACCGGCCCTGCCTCACCAGTCATGTGCGACAGGGTGCCCGGAGCCCAGCAGTGCCCCCAGAAGTCCCAGCCCACTCACGCTGTACACCAGGTGGGTTCAGGGCTGAGGCACTGGCCCAGGATGGAGGGAGACTGGGGGTGAGCTCTGGCGCCCAGGCCATGGCGGCAAGGGGGTGCAGACCATGGTTTGGGGCGATGTTGGGTGGCAGACCCTGTCCCATGGGGCAGAGGTTCCTTCAGGGCGCTGCCCGAGTTTGCTCCTGTCTCGGGCCTGAGTCCCTGTCAGGGAGCGCCTGGCTGTGTCTGCACTGAGGGCTGCCCCCCAGGACCGGCCTCCCTGCCGTGCCAGGCTGCGAATGACGCCACTCAGGGTCAGCTCCCTCCAACCGGAGGTGCCCTGTTGGGGTTCCAGGCAGATCCCCAGCCATGGGTCACTTTATGTGCCCCCCCACCCCGCCCATGGGAGGGTGCCCTCCCAGGGCCAGAGCTGCTCACACCGGCCCTGCAGGTGCAGGAAGGAGACCAGACACAGGGACTCTGGGCCCGCTCAGGGAGGGAGGACACAAAGGAGCTTCCGAGCTCCGTCTTCCAAGTCTGCTGCTCCGCACCATGCCGCTGAGACCGGAGCAGCCAGGGGGCCGGGAGCTGCTGCCTACACACGCGCAACACAGAAGGAATCAAACTCGAGGAAAGTGCGGAGTGATTCCCAAGCAGAAGTTGGGCCGCGGGATGTTGCCCTCTGGGGTGAGGAATAGCAGCGTCAGGGTTGAGCATCTCAGACCCAGAGGGGTGATGGGCACAGGCCCCAGGCCCTGCTCCAGAAGAGGGTTCTCCTGTGGGCTCAGGGCTGGGGCCAGCCCTTGCCAGGTGCAGGCGCCTGGAAAGGCTCCCACCCCTCTGCTAGCCCACCTGGACTGAACAACTGGCCACTGGCCACCCTCCGTCCCGCACCATCACAACGACTGCCTGAGACACGGGGGAGCCGTGGGGCATGTGGGACAGCTCCCTGACCCCACAGGCCCACAGCCAGCCCTGCTCCGGCGTCTAGCCCCCTGGGGAACCTGGTTACCTGGAACCCCAAAGACTTAAGGTTCCAGATGCTTCCTTTGGCATCCTAGAAACTTTGTGGGCAACTGGCCAGAGTCTGAAGGCCCCATTGCCTGAGCCAGCACCTGGCAGGAAGTTATGGGGTTGTGGTTACGGCCAACCCGCTTGGGCTTTGTTCCATCAGGATGGGGAGTGTCTGCCTCAGGGAGGAGACTCAGTCGAGACTCTCCCACTTGTCTCTGGGGCTGGAGCTGCAGGCTGGGAAGGCAAGGAGCCACTCCTCGGGCCGTCCTGCAACCTCCCCCCATGCACACGGGCCGGATGCTGGCTGGGCGAGCAGTGGTGCTGCTCTCCCTGGCCTGGAGCGCGCACCGCAGCCTGGCCATCCCCCAGATTGCAGAATGCGGCCTCTCCTGTTCGCAGGTGAGCTCCTGCCTCTTCCTTGACCCCCATCTGGTGATCAGGGGGCCTTTCCCACTCTCATGTGAGCCTCTGAGCCTTCCTAGGGTCTCATCTTGAGGGGACCCTGGCTCCTCCATAGGTGGGCGCCGGCCTGGCGCCCGGCACAGAACCAAGGGCGATAGGCAGTGGGTGACGAGACGTGGGGGCCTGGGAACCCCTGGGAGGCACGGGGCTGGCCCTGCAGTTCTGCTCGAGGGCCTGTTGGCCCAGAGCCCCGGCGGGAGGGGCCCATTGATGTGCCCTCACCCGGTCCCTCTCCCTGAAGCCCCTCGTGGCTTCGGGGAGCTCTGTTTCATCATCCGAGGTGCTGGGCTTGTGTGGACATCCTGCTAAGGGAAGGCTGCAGGAATGTGCTAATCCAGGACAGGAGGGAGCCGCAGGGCAAGCCGTGTGCTGGGAAACAGTGGCCTCCTGGGACTTCTCACCGCAGGGCGGACTGACTCAGCCTCACCCGAGGGAGGCGTCCGGCAGCACCTGCCATGGGTGCCTGTGTCCCTGGAGACTGGTCCAGGCATGGTGGGGGCACAGCCAGAAGGCATCCCGGGCTCAGCGGAACGCAAGGACAAGGGCTCAGAAAGACCATGGAGAGCGCAGGGCGGAGGCACTGGAGCACCTGCCCTGCGCACCGTGGCCTCGGGGACTGGTGTTCTAGCTGGTACAGGGCGTGAGCAGACAACGTGTAGGTGCAGAGGAAACGGCTGGGTCCAGGTCGGGGGGTGACCCGGGCCCCCCACGGTGAAGGTGGATAATGGGAGGGGGCGGCTTTGTGTGTGCACTTTGCGGGGGGAGTTCAAGCCACTGGGGATCCTGGTGGACAAGGAGGAATCAAAGTGGACCCTAGAATGTGACTGTAACCCTGGGCTGCTGGAGAGGGCTCCTGAGGTGGGAGGCCTGGCGGCGGCGGGTGGGGAGCAAGTTCTGGGGGGGCAACTTGGTTTCAAAACGTGGGGTTTGAGAAGCCCATCAGACGTGAGAGCTGACGTGAATGGGGTCAGGAAGAGCCACCAGCAGGGGTCCTGCACTGGGCCGGGCTGGGCTAGGACTCGGCCCCCCAGACCCAGAGGCTGTGAGGAGAAAGAATTCCCAAGGGAAAGGGAGGAGAGGTGAGGGGAGAAGGGTGCTGGAGGCCGCAGGGCAAGTGCAGAGGGAGGGGGCTCACGGCCCTGCTGCTGCTGACCCCACAGGGAGGGCCAACCAGACACCACTCCCCACTCCATGGTTTCCCAGCCTCCTGGGTTGCGTTGCGGGGACCAGCTCCGGGCAAGCGGGGAGCCAAGTGGGTCAGGAGCCCATGCAGGTCTTTCCTCTAGCCCCAGCTGAGGCGGGGGTGGGCGGGCAGCTCGGGGTGGGGTCGGGGGAGGGAACACAGGTCCCTCCCTAAAGACATGCTCCTGGGGTGGGGTGGGGGTCCCTCCCCACAGACAGCCCCAAGCCTGGCACGGAAAGCCCCGAGAAACCCAATGGAAAATCCCAGGGAGGTGGGGTGTGGCCACTTCTCGACGGGCAGCTCTGGGCCCCCGGGACGTGCAGCCAGCCCCCTCCCATGCCCTTCCCCAGCTCCTGGTACGCCAGGGACCCTGGGCCACGTTGCCCACAGGTGCTTTCTGGCCTGACCTTTGTCTCTGCTGGTCCCTCTGCCTGCGTCCCAGAGAGGAGAGGGTCTGGGCACTGAAGGGGCACCCACCAGACCAGAGCCACCAGCCCTCCACTAGACACCATGTTGCACAACTCCGGGGCTGTGGGGGCTCCAGGCATAGGTTCAAAGGGCAGTCCCTGCTGTCCAGGCCACATGGAGGCCCTCGGCCTTAGGGCAACGAGCAGGGCCCCTCTCTGCCTTTGAACTCTGGGACTTGGGGAGTAGGTTCAGGCCACAGGATAGTGGATGCCCAGCGGGAATTCCAAGCATGGGAGGCGGAGGGAGGCACGGACCTCCCCAGCACGGCCTGGCTCATGCGCTCAGTCAGGGCTGCTCTGCAGGGTCGGTCTCTGGGCTCGCTGGAATGGGCTGTCCCCTCCTGCCCGCACACCCCTGGGCCCCCAGGCCCCCAGGACGTGCAGTCGCATGGTGGACAGGGTTAGGCTGTCCAGGTGGGCTCAGCCCTTCCATCCGAGCATGTGAAACGGAAAACAGACGTTGAGAACAGACACGGAAAACAGATGCAAAACTGGGAGAAGTCCCAACCGTGCGGGGTTCAGCGGTGCCCCAGCAGCCCGGGGCCCTAGTTTGTACAAACGCACAGTCAGTCCGCACCATACTACGGCTGTGGAGAAGCCCGCGGGACTATCTCCATGCTTCTCCTCTACGGCCCGCACCGTTCCGAAACATGAGCGTGTTTAGAAAGGGGTTGGAGCGGGGATGGAACAGCAGATCCAAGCAGCAGGAGAGGACCGGCTTGGATCCTCCGTTCCCACCTGGGTGCCACCGGAGTGTCCCCTCTGCTCGGGGACACACACACACACACACACACACACCCGGCTGTGTTCTCCTCCGGGAGGGGAGCAGAGGGCCGACATCGCTGTTGCTCCTTGGCGCCCTGTGGTGGCGCTGGGGAGCAGGGGCTACTCCGCGCAGCCTGGTGCCCCAGGGACCTGGACCCCTGCCCCCTGGGCTCCCGGAGCAGCACCCCGACCTCAGTCTCCCCGAATTCGGCTGTGGAGCCCTATGGCACACCCACAAAAGTGAGGCCTGCAGGCTGGTGGTCCAGCCACCTCCCCCCCTCCCCCGGCCCCATCGGAACCTGGTCCCCAGTCCCGCCATGCCCTCACCTCCTCCACAAGGGCTCCCTTGAACACACCCGCAGATTTTCCACCCACGCCGCCCTGGGGCCTCTGATACCCCTTCCCCATCCCTTGTCAGCAAAGTGCAACTTCCTGACCTTCCGGACTGCGTCTGTGTCTCAGAATGCGGCTCCTCCAAGACAAGAGCTTTCCCCACTTCTTTCATTGAGAACCCCAGCACCTAATCAGTACCTAGCAGGTGCTCAGCCAGTGTCCCCCTAAAGAATGAATGGGTGGGCCTGTGCCAGCAGCATGAGCTGGGAATGTTAGGGACACGGGGATCCCCGGTCCATGGGGTCCAGGTCACACCGTCTACTGAATGACCGCTGTCTGCCGGGCCTTGGGCTGGACTCTGGCACCCCTCACCCCCACTGCCAGTCCCTTCCAGAGAGTCAAGGGCCGTGTGACTCTCCTAGCTGTGGGGGCTGGTCCAGGAGGGCGCACGGAAAGTGGCCAGGCTGACCCTCACCCTGTCTCATTGTTCTGTCCCCAGGGCTTCGCCTGCGAGAGCCGAGTGAACTGTGAGTACATCTCAGGCAGGGGGGACAGTCTGCCTTTCCCGTCCTCATACAGCCTGGTCACCAGGGTCACCCTGTCTTCCTTGCCACTCTACTGGCCTCCCCCTGCCTGCCTCGCAGGACAGAGTGTCCCCCAGATGTCGCTGTCCAGCAGCTGGTGACCACGGACAAGGCCCCCAGTTCACACCCAGCTGTGCACCTGCCGCACAGAAGCCCGGTGTTCCTGCTTCACCGGAGGACGTCCCCTTCTGCAAAGTGCCCCTGCCAGCCATACAGGGAAAGCCCCACTTCCCCTTATCAACTTCTGTGTTTTCTCCAACGTGAAATGACGCCCATTAACTTCACAGTCTTCATTGTGTTCCGTGGCAGCGGCGGCTGCTGCGTGACCTGGGCTGGGGACGGGGGTGTGGGCTCCTGCTGTGAGTGTCCCTGGGGAGTGCTCCGGGCCTCACAGAGTTCCGCTCCCTCCCGGAGGGTCCCTTGGGGCTCCCAAGGCCATTCGGAACTTTTCCACTTGGATGTGATCGCATTTACCAGTCTCCTCTTTAAGGTGTTTTGTGGATTTGGGGGTGTTTTAAGAAATTCTTCCCCATCCCGAGGAATGTCCCCTGCCTTGCACAGGTTTTAACCTCTTGTTTCCATTCAGCTCTTTAGCTCGCTAGGGTTTATTTCCACACGTGGCGTGAGGTAGGGACGCGGCCCTGGTGCTTTGCTGCTTGGGGACCCGCCTCGGCCGCGCCACGGTCGGCTCCGCGCGGCTCTGCTCTTCCAGCCGCGGGGCAGCTCCCTGACCCCGGGGGCCGCCGGCGTCCGCTCCTTCCCGCCGCTGCCCGCGAGCCCCGCCCGGCTCCTTCCTCTCCCTGCGCGGCGCCGCCAGAGCAGCGGCCGCGCGCCCCCGTCCCTGAGCCCGCGGGTGCCGGCGGAGCGGCGGGAGGGCGGCCCCCCGCTGCGGCTCGTTCCCGCGGCCTCGCCTGCGGCGGCGCCCCGCAGCGGCGCGCCCCAGCCCTGGGTGAGAGCCCGCCGGGGGGCGCCCCGAGCCCCGGACCCCCGGGCCCGCCGCGGGAGGGGAGCGTCGGCGCCGGCTGGGCTCCGGCCGCACCGCGGGGAGCCGAGGGACCGTCCCGCCGCAGCGGCGCGAGGACAACTGAGGCACCGGGCACGTGGACGGGGCGGAGCGCGCGACGAGCGTCGGCCTCGCGGTCCGCCGGCTCAGACGCGGCGCGGCGGGACGAGCCGGACACCCGAGCCGACCCGTCGTCGACACCCGGGACGAGCCGGACACCCGAGCCGACCCGTCGTCGACACCCGGGACGAGCCGGACACCCGAGCCGACCCGTCGTCGACACCCGCGCGCGACGCCCGTCGGCACAAGCCCGAAATCCTCCGAGGCGAGGCGACGACGCGCAGAATGAGAAACACGGGAAACCGCCCGAGGAAGGAAGACCGCGCTGGACCGGCCCGGCAGGGAGCAGACCAGGCGTCCAACAGCCAAGAGAAGCTCGGGGCCGAGAGGAGGACGTTTTTAAAAATAAGGACGAAATGGACAGATTAAAACGATGTGTGAGTAAATGGTGAGCGTTGCGGACAGGCCCAGAACGTCCAAGACACACGCGTTGAAGAGGAAAACCCAGGGGACGGGCACATTACGAGGAGCTACGGTTCTCAGGAGATTACATTTTTTTTCTTAAAACTGGGTATTATCAGAGCAGACCGAAAATACGGATCCTGAATACCAGACACCAAAACGTATTGTGAAATGACCGGGTTTTAAAGACAAAGAAAAGTCTTTGGGGCAGGTAGCAAAGCGGGCGCACAACTTGCGACGGTAGGAGCCTCCCCAGCGCCAGGCTGCGGTCGGTCGTGGACACCATTTCCCGCGGGAGGACCCAGGCAGGGCTTCCGCGCAGTGGCCGACGCTCATTCTGGGCCAGAGAACGGGCCGGAAGAACCGGGGCGTCTCGGACCAGAGAGCACAGACGCTCTCAAAGCCGCGGTACAGGGGGCGGGCGGGTGTCAGAGGAGCGAGCGACTCTCGATCTCGGGGTTGTGGGGTCCAGCCCTGCGCTGGGTGCAGAGATTACTTAAAAATAAAACCTTAAAAAAAAAGTACTTGGAACTGCCCTCAAGAAGCTCCCATTAGCCAAGAGGAGATCATTTGACCTTAAAAAAAAAAAAAAAAAGACTAGCAGTAAGTTGCAGCCCACGTCCTGAGGATGACAGGGAACCTGCTCGTCATCCTCAAAACTGGGATCAAGCCTCGTTCCTGCCCGTCTCCTGCGAACGCCACCTGGGAGTAAGTGTTCCAGCTCGTAAGGGAAACCAAACGGTAGAAAAACCATTTTGCGTCCCCCACTGACGTGAGTGCTGGTGACAGCGAGCATCAAAGCAGGCGGAGGTCCAGACACGGCGTCACAACGCCCCCCGCCGACCAAGGGTACTTGACACCAGCGCTGGTCCTGCCAAAGGACTAGATCCTGAGCACAGTCGGGCCTCCGGGCCCTGCTGCCGATCAGCCAGAAATACAGGGTCTGAAGACGGGTGCCGAGCTGCTCCCCGAGGACGCCTGGCAGGCCACGGAGCCCGATTCTGCAAGGAGGAGCGGAGCTGCGGACAGCGGCAGACCAGGTAATCCGAGTCTGGAAAATCCAAGCCTCAAGGTTAGTGCAGGAGGAGGCCCATCTGCACGGTGAAACCACAAGGAATGAAAGAAGTCGCTACAGGAGAAGTCAGCCTGCTGGGTCTGCGGCGAGCAAAGGGCCTTGGACTAGCTGGGGACCCGCCGGCTGGGGATCGGGCTGTCTGCTCCATAATAATTCACAAAGCCATGTTTTTTGGGTGAGTTTTTCAGTATCTAAGTTTCATTTTTACACTAGAAAGCTTTTCAAAAGGGTTTTAGCATTTTGTATGCCTTCACTTCTTCAATATGAACTTTTGATTGTCAAGTTTACTGAGAATTTCAGGAGGCATTTCCCAACGCAGGTCTTGTTTTAAGATTACTTATTTTGGGGGAGAGAGAGGGCATGTGCGAGCATGGGAGGGGGCACAGAGGAAGAAAATGCCAGGCAGATTCCCAGCTGAGGGCAGAGCCCATCATGGGGCTTGATCCCAGGACCCTGAGGTCTGGACCAGAGCTGAAATCGAGAGTCAGACACTCAAGTGACTGAGCCCCCAGGTGCCCCCCGTTTTAAAAAAAAGGATTTACTTATTTATTTTGGAGAGAGCCAATGTGTGTATTTTTTAATATCACCAAGCAATTAACTCAGTTCTAAGTTACCTAGACGACCAGTTTAGCCTCCGAGCGCACAGATTACGGGTTTTGTCCCACAAGACTGCCCCCCAACTTCCAACACCGGCAACAAGTCTGGGGTGTCCCCTCTGCCTCTGACCAACTGGCTATGGGTCAGAGGCTCCCATGACCCCGCTCTCAGTCCACTTTCTTTGCTTGATGGGCTCACAGAACTCAGAGCATCATTTTACTTGCCAGGCAACCAGTTTTTTATAAAACGATATAATTTAAGAAAAACCAGGTAGAAGGGATGCAGGAGGGCACAGAGACCCCCATGCCTCCTGGGGCTGCCACTCTCCCAGCTCCATGTCCTCACCAACCCGAAAGTGCTCCAAATCCTGTCCTTTAGAGTTTTTATGGAGGCTTATATGGAAGGTTTTACATAGGTACGACTGATAAATTCGCCAGCCACTGGTGGTTGACGGGACCTCCGGATCCTCTCTCCTCAGCAGAGGTCATCATGTGGTTGATTTCCCTGGCAACCAGCCCCCACCCTTGGGGCTTTCCAAAACTTACCTCGTTAAGATGAACTTAGTTGCGGTTGAACGTGGTTTGTTATGAACAACAAAAGACGCCCTCCCGGCTCTTAGCTCTCAGAAAATCCCAAGGGTTTTAGGATTCTTGCACCAGATAATGGGCACAGAGCATATTTCTTATGTAAGTTACAATATCACACATTTTGATCTGACTGGCATTGACTACAGCCATTGACTTGAGACAGAAATGACCTCAGAGTTGAGTGTTCCAACCATGAACATGGTATGCCTTTCCAATGATGTAGGTCTTCCTCAAAGCTTGTACTACGTTCTTCAGAGGCTGAAGGATAGTGTGAAAGGTTTCTTTATTTTATTATATTTTCCGATTGGTTTTGCTGGTGTAAAGCAGCTGCTTTTGTGTATTGATCTTGTACCCAACACATTTGTTAAAAATTCTTTGTTATTTCTGATAGATTTCCCATTGAGTCTCTTAAGATTTTGTATATAGATAATCACATATATTCTGTAAATGATGACAGTTTATAAACCTGTGTGTGTTTCTGGTCTTACAGACCTGGCTCCAGTCACCAGGACAATGTGGAATGGGGAGCCTTATTTTAGTTCTGGTATTCATGGGATTGACTCCCAAGGCTCACCTGACGTTATCACGCTAATGGGGCCTTTGAAGAAGATGACTTCTATCTAGACAAGGAGGTGCCTTTCTTTTCCCAGTTTTTTTTTTTTAAGATTTTATTTATTTATTTGACAGAAGGAGAGAGAAAGAGATCAAAGTAGGCAGAGAAGCAGGCAGAGAGAGAGGAGGAGGCAGGCTCCCCGCCGAGCAGAGAGCCCAACGCGGGGCTCGATCCCAGGATCCTGAGATCACGACCTGAGCTGAAGGCAGAGGCTTAATCCACTGAGCCACCCAGGCGCCCCTCTTTTCCCAGTTTTTTAAACATTCTTTATCATGAATAGGAAGTGAACCTTATGAAAACTATATGCATCTGTGAAAATAATCACGCAGTTTTCCTCCTTTAATCTTTCAATGAGATAAATTGTACTGATAGATGTTCTAACTTTGACCACACGTGGAGTGTGGAAACAAATCCTATCCAGTCATGTTTAATATATTATTAAACCAAATTGCTACAGTTTTATGTAGGTTTTATAACTATATTCATACGGGAGACTGGCCTACACTTCACTTTTTTTCATGAGCCTTTGCGAAGCTAGCCAGCAGTCCTGTCTGTCCTCTTTCCCTTCCTCGGGGTCATCTTGGCCATTTTACTTTGTTCACATTTCTGAATGTCTCTGCTGTATTTTCCATCTCTTTGTCCCTCTGCGGCCTTCGGGGTCATTTGCTGGGACCTTCTGCTTCACTAATTCTCTCTTTGGTGAGGTCCAGGCTGCTCTGGAAGCCACTTGTTCCATTTTTAATTTCTGTTTCTGTGGGTTTCGTTTCTAGAAACTCTGTTTTTTGCGAATGTGCTTGGTCCGTCTTTGTAGTTTCTGTTTCCCACCGCGCATACTCCCGAGCTTGTCCTGGGGTGGCTGGTCTACAGTCACATCTCGTGCACCTGTCCCCGGAAGACTCCATGGGGCTCTCATTTCTGCCAGGTTTCCCTCTCGGTGCTTTGTTTTCTGGCATATCTGTTCATCTTTAAATATGCCTGCTCAGTGCCCTCAAGAAATGACTTGTGAGGTTCCCCAGGGCCTAGGATGCTGGAGGTTCCCCTGGATCAGATTCCCCCTTGTTTCTGAGTGGTACCCAGAGATGATGTATGACTGTCAGGACCATTTCCCTTTAAAAAACAGATTGAGGTCCCTTGGCCCTTCCTAGAGATGCGAACCAGGGCTGGACACCAGCACCCAGACCCACCGAAGGCCGTGGGAAGCTCTCTGTTCCTCCCTGCGCACTCAGAGTGGCCACACCACAGGGCCCAGGGTTGGGGGGCTCCCCATTGGCCCCCAACCCAGGGTGATAGTGGGACAGCTCCATGATGTTGCCAGCAGACGTGGCTTCCTGTGCATCCCTCTGCCGTTTCTCAGGCTTTGACCTGATGATGCTGATTCTTTCAGCAGCTTTCCCAAGTTTCCTTGAAACCTTTTCTATGCCTGACTTTCCCCCAGCATTGTTAGCTGTTTTCAGCTAGAGAGTTGGCCTGGACAGCCTAGTCTGGCGTATTATGGAAACGAAACCCCCAGCTTGTTTTTGAACACAGAGAATTCTTTCTTTTTCCTCCTCTTCTTTTGTCAGGAGGAATTTAAATTCACCACCACATTTCGCCAACCCCTGAGTTCACTGTTCCCTTTTGGAACCCTCTTCTTCTTTCGAGTTCCTGTTTCTCCTCTTCAGAGTACATCTGTTAGGCCTTCATAAAGTACGGCTCTGCGGCAGCTTTTCAAGTCTTTGAAAAGATCGAATATATTTACTTCTCCCACAGGGAGACTCCCACGAGGCTTCATAACAAATTTTGGGTTCACAGTGATTTCCATGGAGGGACAATGACTTGTTTGCCCTGTTTTGCGCCACAGATAACGTGGCATGCTTGTATCTCTTCTCCTCTCTCCTCTCCTCTCCTCTGTATACTCCCCGTTTTGTCAGCTAGTCTGGAATAGGAGCTGTTCTCACGCATTTATTCCACAACAGGCATCTTCCCTCTCTGCAGTCACTACGCTCTGTGCTCCCCATGAGCCCTTCTCTGCCATGGCTCTACCTTTTTTTTTTTTTTTAATTCTGGTTTTTGTCCTTTTCTTGGTTGGCTGGAGTAGATCTGCTTCCCCCCACCCTCAGAAAAGGTCAAGAGATGGGGGTTTCTCATTCCTTGCAGAGAAGAAGACATTTTCACACACATGAGGCACCCATGGGTGGGAAGAGGGCTCTGCCTTCCCTTGGGAACACCACGTGAGGCTCTCCGGTGCTCCCCGGGAAAAGGGAACCCCAGGCTGGGGACAGAACTCTCCCCGCCCAGCCCACATTACCTGGCTGGCCACTCGGCTCCACCATGGAGTCTGCGGACAGCTGGCGGGCTGGCCGCCGCCTCTGGCTCAGAGGAGTCCATCAGACCCCACCACTGTTTGCATCATCTCCAAGACATGGGGGCCAAGGACACACAGGGCAGGGGCCATGCCAGGTGCAGACAATTGCTTGGAACTTGGACTGGTACGGGAGGAGTGATCACGGACACTGCCCAGAACCACCCGCTCGTGGGGATCAGGAAAGGCAGCTCAACTCTTCCTTCTCTGTTTAACATCCATCAGTTTGGGAGAAGGAGGTGGCAGGAGCCTGCGACCTCCTTGCCCGTCCTGGTCTGACCCCTCAGGACATGATGAGGAGAAGCCTGTGGGGTATGAAGACAGCTGTGCTCTGTGTGCCTAAGGCTTTAAAAAAAAATTATTGTTTTTATTATTTTTCCCACTTATGATCTTCTATAAACTTAAACCAAGTTGGGAGAAACCCCCTCTTACGGGGCCAAGCTCCGTATGACATCTCACCAGTTCCGGGGAGGAGTTTAGAAACTCGCTGGCTTCTTACACACATAGATGGGCAGGAAGGAGGAAATTACCTTTATAGCATAATTTTTTAAAGATTTATTTTACTGGGGCGCCTGGCTGGCACCATCAGTTAAATATCTGCCTTCAGCTCAGGTCATGATCCCAGGGTCCTGGGATTGAGTCCTGTATTGGGTTCCCTGTTTGGGGGGCAGAGTGGGGGCGGTGGGCGGGAAACCTGCTTCTCCCTCACTTCCCTGCTTGTGTTCTCTCGCACTCTTCCTCTCTCTCAAATAAATAAATAAATAAATAAATAAATAAATAAAATCTTTTTTAAAAAAAGATTTATCTATTTGGGAGAGAGAACGCATGAGCAGGGGCGCAGAGGGGCAGAGGAAGAGGGAGAACCTCAGGCAGAGACCATGAGGAGCCCGATGTGGGGCTCGACCCCAGGATCTTGAGATCCTGGCCTGAGCCGAAGGCAGACAGACGCTAAACGACTGAGCCCCCCAGGCACCTCAGAGTGCATTAGATTTTTATAGAGACAGCTATGTCATCTGCGAATGAAGACGGCTTTACTTCTTTCCAAACTGAAAAGGAAGTTTATTTTCTTGCCTTATTGCACTGACTACAATCTCTAATGCAACACTGAACAGAAGTGAGCAGAGCGGTGCTGCTGGTCTCCTTCCTGATCTTAAGGGAAAACGGTCCTTTTACTGGCAAACACGGCAGTAACCATAGGTTCCCCAGAGATGGCGTTTAACAGGTTGAGAACGTTTCCTTACATTCCTTGTTCACTGAGGTTTTTTTTAGGAATAGATATTGGATTTTGTAAAATTATTTTGCTATTGAGATGATCGAATGTGTTTTTCAAAATTTGTTAACATAGTTAATTGTAGTGATTCTTTCTTCCTTTCCTTTTCTTTTTCTTTTTTTTGGTAGGCAGCAAAGCAAAGTTTATTGCATGATAACACAAAGCTCCCGAAGAAGGAGGGGCCCCGAGAGGCCTGCCCTATAGTGATGGATTTTCCAACATCGAATCTGTCTCATATTCCGAGGGCGAACTGCACTTGGTAATCACATGTTATCTTTTTCCATGTTGTTGGATTCCCTTGACTGAAATTTTGTTTAGAGGTTCTACTCTGTGGCCATGAGCTTTCTGTAGTTTTCTCTTTTTATAATGTTTTTGTCAGGTTTTGATATCAGAGAATGGGTTCCACACTATTCCTGCTGCATCGGTTTTCTGGAAGGATCCGTGTAGAACTGGTAGTATTTCTTTCTTAAACATACGCTTTCATTGACTTTCTCTACTGCTCTTCTGTCTCCTATTTCATTGGTTTCCACTCCGATCTTATTTTATTTCTTCTGATTACTTCAGGTTTTGTTACTCTTTCTTCTCGGTTTGAGATATAGTTGATGTGTAATTTAGCACTAGTTTAAGGGCGTGCATTTACTCTAGTTTCTTAAGGTGGAAGCTGATGTCACTAATGTGAGATTTTTTTTTTTCTAATTTGGAATTAAGTGCTACAAATCCCCCCCAATAATGTTTTGGCAGCATCCAAATATTTTTATATGTTGTGTTTTCATTTTCATTCTGTTCAAAGTAATTTCTAATTTCCCTTTTCATATCTTCTTTGGCTGAAAGTTATTTAAAAGTGTATTGTTCAGTTTCCAAATATTGGGAGGTTTTCCAGAAATATTTTATTTTAGTTTTTTAGAGACTTATTTATGTATTTTAGAGGAAGAGAGAGCGAGAGAGAACGAGTGGGAGGGGCAGAGGGAGAGGGATCCACACTAAGATCACAACCTGAGCTGAAACCAATAGTGAGATGCTCAGCCAACTGAGCCCCCGAGGCACCCCCAGAAATATGTTATTAATGACTGATTTAATTCCATTTTGATCAGAGAAGATAGTTTGTTTGATCTGAATTCTTTTCAATGTACTGAGACTATTTTATGGACCACACAGTCTATCTAGATCAACATTCCGTGCGCACTGGAACACATGCAGACCCCACCGCTGTTGGGGGGGGTGCCGTAAATGCCGGGGAAGCTGAGCGGGTTGGTTATGTCATACGAGGCCACCATATTCCTTCTGGTTTTCTGCCCACTTGTTCGGTCAAGTGTAGAAGGAAGACTGTTGAAACCACCTGAGACTGTGGGCTTGTCTGTTCGAACTTGTTGTTTAACCTGTTTTGTCTCCCTGTGAAACTCTGACATTAAGTGCGTCGTATCAGTTGTGACTGCTGTGTCCTCCCAAGGAATTGCTCCCTCTGTCGCTCTGAAAGGAGTGTCCTTCTCTCTGGTAATATTCTTTGCCAGGAAAGCCATGCCGTCTGGTCACAACCCGTCCATCTTTCTTTTGATCAGCTCTGGCAGCCTGTGTCTTCGCGCCGGTGTCCTCCTCCATGAAGTGCGTCTCTTACAACAGCCTGCGTTGGTCTGGGTTGGGCTCGCAGCCTGAACGTCTTTGCCTGACTACGGCGTCAAACATTTGCACCGAGTGTGACTACGGAAGCGGTCAAGGCCAGGGGGACTGCGTTCCTGTTCCCTTGTTCCTTATCGTCTTTGTTCGCTTTTTCTTCTTCTGCCGTCTTTCGGTTAATTGTGTGTGTGTGGTTTCATTTTTTCTTCTCAGTTGACTTAATAGTTCAAACTCTTTGGTCATTTTGGTGTTTTTTTGCTTTCTGTTTGGTTTTCGGTGTTTCTAACGTACATCTTTATGCATTGTACTCTACCTTCAGGACGCGGTGCCTCACGGCACAAACAGCCGTGGCTGCACTAGGGCAGCCACACCTCGGCCATCCATCTGGTGTGTCAGATTTACTGATTTACTTGGCGGGGGGGGACGAGCGGGGGCAGGGCCAGAGGGAGCATCCTGAGCAGATTCCCCGCTGAGTGTGGAGCCTGATGCAGGGGTCAATCCCGTGACCCCGAGACCCGGAGATCATGATCTGAGTGGAAGCTGGGAGTTGGAGGCTTAACGGGCTGCGCCCCCAGGTGCCCCTCCCCCCACGCCAGGTGTTTGTGGGGTTGTGGTCACATGTTTCCCTTTCCCGCGCGTTCTAGACTCCCAGTGCATTACTATTATTATTCCGTGTAAACAGTCAATCCTCCTTTAAATGGACTTAAATAATGAGGAACTAGATCGTGTATCTACATGGTTATCATTTCTGGTGCTCCATTTGGTACCATTTTCCTATTTTCCTCCCTACCCAAGGGCCTGTCTAACTTTTTTTGGTGGTGGGTCTTCTGATGAGGAGTCCTCTCGGCTTCTGTGCGCTCCAGGAGTCTTTATTCACGCTTCGTCTGCAGACAGCTCCAGTGGGCAGGCCGGCCTGCGGCATTCTGGGGCCCCTTCTGCCCTTTCCCACAAGAAACCGCCGTTGTCCTCTCCTTTGTTCCTTCCACATAACATGTCTTTTTCCTCTGGTGGCTTCTACGTTTTCTGTCCGTCACTGGCTTCCAGCAAATGGATCCTGGTGCGTCTCGTAATTTCTCCATCTTCCTTACGCTTAGCTCTCACCAGCTTCTTGGACCTGCGACTTCACAGTTTTCATCAAGTCGGGGAGATACCGATTTTTTTTCTCATTCCCTGCATTCCTCTGGGGACTCTCCGAGTGCACTGGGTCCCTGGAGACGTCCTGCCAATGCTCCTCTTGTCATCCCATCGTCACCAGTATCTCTTTCCATTTTCTTTTGGGTGGTTTCGGTTGCTCCGTCGAGTTCCCCAATCTCCTTCTTTTAAATATCTAATCTGTTATTAATCCTATCTGATGTGTTTTTCATCTCAGACATTATATTTTTTCTAGAAGGTGGATCTGAGCTCGAGCTCCCTATCTAGTCTCCCACGTCTATGCGCACCAGTCGGGACATTCGGAAACAGCGGCGGTCATTGCTTTGACGTCCTTGAGCTGGTTCTGGAGCCTGCATCAGTCTTAGTGAATTGATTCTCCTCCTCATTATGGGTCGTATTTTCCTGATTCTTTGCATGGCTTGTAATTTTGAATTGTTAATTTTACCCTGTTGTGTGCTGGACAAATGATTTACTCCTACAAATATCGTTGAGGCTCTCCTGAAAGACAGTTAAATTTCAGGGCTAACGCTTAAACTTTCGGGGGGCGCTGGGCAGGCTGAGAGCAGCACTCAGTCTGAGGCTAATTACCCCCCACCAAGGCAAGACTCCTGCAAATGTGGGGCGTACCCAGGGCCACACCGCCCACAGGACTGTCCCCAGCCCCGGGAGCGCAGGACGCGGCTCCCTCAGATCCTCTGGGCGGGTTCCTGCCTGCCCCAGCAGTTCCCCTCACGGGCGTGCTGACTTGTGCCCCGCAGGTGAACCTTCTCCCGCCTTCTTGTGCAGCCTTCTCTCCTGTCTCCTGCTCTGTCCCACAAACGTGGGCACTCCGGTCTGCCCAGGCTCTCTGCCCTTCTCCTTGACTCAGGGAGGGAGCCACTTGGGCCCCTGCCTCCCCCACAGCCCAGTGTCACCTCAAGGACATCCCCGTCCTCCCTTTCCTCCTGCCGCGTCCTGAAACCCCTCTTCACGTCCTCTGTCAGGCTTTCTAGGCTGTGTCCTACAGGAGAGTCAGCCGGATCCCATGACTCCGCCTGGGCCGCAGTGGGGTCCACAGAGCCGGATTTCCTTTCCAAGAGTATATTCGGGTCTTGTAACTCCTTACGTCCCGTGAGTCTCTCTCTGAAGCCATCGGAGTGAGCTCCACCCAGGGACGCGCTCCTCGCCATGTGCGTCCAGGCCCGGTGGGCAAGGCCACTGCGTCCGGCAAAGACCTGGCTTTGGGGCACCCCGCCTTCTCCGTAGCCCACCTGCTCACAGGTCACCGGAACAGGTCCCGGGGCAGAGACAGCCCGTGGCCGCAGGCTCTGGACAGACGGACTCTGCACCCTCAGGGCCGCACCTCGGTCTTCCTCCTTCCTCCTCAGCCTCCCCGCAGAGGGGTCTTCCTCCGCTCCCCCTTCGCTCACGGTGCAGTTCGGCGTGGTCTGACGGGTCCCCCCTCCTGTGCTGCCTGCCCGTCCCCCAGAGCTCCAGCCCCAACAGGTCCCCCTGGGAGCTCTGGGCGCCACAGCTCCTACCCAGGACACGCGGGCCCACCTCGGGGTTACTTCCTTCCACCGTCCCGACACAGGGCCTGAACCCCATCTCTCCTGCCTGCAGACCACCCGCGCCCTTGGGTGCAGGAGGGCACCTGGGCTGCCGACTTGGAGGGCCACGGGCCTCCCCAGGGCTCCACGGCAATACCCTCTGTCCTCCAAGTCCCCGGCTGCCAGCCGGGCCAAGTGAACGCCACCGCTCGCGCAGCCCCCGTGCCTGGAAGCGAGACCCCCGATCTGGGCTCCACGACCTTGGGGTCATGACTCAGGTGCCCCACAGGACTTTAAAGAGAGGCCCTGGGGCTTGCCAGCTTATCAGAAGGTGCCCGTGCTGGGCAGATGGGGTCTGCTCCCCAGACTGGCCCCACTCCTGATGCCCGACAGACAGCCGGCTCCAGGGCAGGTCCTCTGTTCACTGGGGGCCATTCCCTGATTGCTCTGGAGCAAGACGGTGAGGACCCCTTCCCAGACATGCCGTCCCGGAGCGCCCTCCTCTGGCTGGGCACCCACAAAGCCTTACCCAGGCCCTGGGGAGGCCCGCGGCACTCACCAGCCTTCTCTCCTCCCCAGGGAATATTTTTAACAGCTTCTGCCGGCCACCCCCCTCGTCCGTGTCCCCATCGGTCCTGGAGGCCCTGACACTCTCCACTGCCATGAAGTGTGCCCCCAATGACGGCTGTTCCCTGCTCCTGCGCGTGCGGGCCTCCCTCGTGCTGCATGGTGAGAGGCAGTCTGGGGGGCCAGGGACCCCACTAACTGTACTTCACAGAGAGGAGGGGAAAAAAGAAGATTCCCTGCCCTGGTCTGACCCGCCTGCCCGGCCCCTCCCTTCACGCAGAGAGCCTGCGGGGCCTGGAGGCCTGCTCCATGAATCTGGACACCCAGGAGACTCAGTGTCAGAGCGTGCGGGTCTCCAGAGCCTCCCGCCACCGGCAGGTGGGGTGGCAGGTGAGGCCGGGGCCTGACCCAGACGTGCTGGCCCCACCCCGAGCTTTTGCCCGACAGGAGCAGCTGTCCCCTGGCTGCTCCTGGAGGCCCTCCCTTCTGGACTCCTGCTCCACCCAAGGCCCAAGGACCGGGGACCCTTCTCCTGAGTTCCAGCTGTGCGAGGTGGAGCTGGCCAGGCCAGGGATGGGGCGCTAGAGACCCCAGGCCCACCTGGCTCACACCTGTGCATGCCCAGCTGCAGGTGCATTTTGATTGCTTCGAAGTGAGCGTGGCTCAGAGCCTCTACGTCACCCTGAGGACCGTCCCCCACTTCTGCGGGGTCCAGCTAGACCAGCAGTACCATGTGGAAGGTGGGAGCCCGTGGGGCTGGCCCGGGTACAGCTGCCACTGGCTTCTGGGGGCAACTTGGGTGGGCCATCTGGGGCAGGGGTCAGGGCCCCATGCCAGAGGGCTCGCAGCAAGCCCCTCTCACTTCATCCGGGGTCACGGGCTCCCTGGGAGAAGAGAGACTTCTGTAAAGCACGTGGGCAGAGGCTCGGGTACAGCTGCTGGGAACAGGAGGCCTGGGCCCACCATTGCTGTGCCATTTGCAGACTGCAGAGACGAGGACGTGGGGAGGAATGTGCCCGTTTGCTTTGGTGAGGCCCCTTTCCCAGGTGGGACCGCCACCCCACAGACCCTGGGGAGGCCCCTGCAGGCCCTTCCAGGGGTGTCTTCCGCCTGCCCCACTTGGGAAGTCATGATGGGTTCTCAGGTGGGCGACTCCCACATGCCTGTATCTAGCAAGGGTCCATCTCCTGGAGCCTCTCAGGACAGGTGGAGACCTTTGTCCAGTGACTGCTAGTCCCAGCGTGGCCCCCAACTGCCACCGTTTTACAGCCGGGAAGTTCTCCTACTGGGCGGACCGCAGCCGGAAGGTCATTCTGGTCCAGGTGCCTGAGGCCCCCGGGGCCCCCGACTACTACGTGCGGCTCTGCCTGAAGTGGTTCACCTGCGACGATGTGGGTGTCCCCGTGCGGGTGAGCCCAGGCCCACAGCCCTGGACAGGCCTCTGGCCCAGGCCACACCCCCCACCCAAGTCCAGCCCAAAGACCTATCCTTGCCTCCCCCCTCCCACCCTGACCCAGGCCTGCCTCCTACCCACTACCCCCACCCCAGGCCTTCCTAGCCTCTCCCAGTCCCAGCCACTGGGGCCCCCAACCCTCAAGCCCTCCACTGCACACAGGTGACAGAGAACCAGATGTCCCGCACCGTCTCTCTGCCCTACAGCCAGGAGCTGCCATGCCTGTGCCTTGAGGTCAGTGAGAGTGTGGCCTTCACTGCCCGGAGGAGACAGAGGGAGGGGCTGGGCCTGAGCTGACCCCAGCCCCTCCCGCAGGGCTGGTTTGCGACCCCTGACGCCGTGCGGATGCAGGCCTGTCCCTTCGAAGATGGCAAGTGCCCTACGGTGTGAAGCAGGGGTGGTGGGAGACGAGGCAGCACGGGAAGAGGGCAGGTCGGGGGCTGCCCAGCTTGGTGGGGGTAGCGGCTTCCTTCAGCCTGGAGGGGACACAGTGGGGATGAAGCGTGTGGACAGGCCCGTCCCCCCTCTTGAACCTGCCGTGGATGGCACGTAGCCAAAGGTGAGTCCCGGCTGGCCTTTTCTGGGAGCAGAATCTGTGCGTAGGGGCGCCTGGGTGGCTCAGCGGGTTGAGCCACTGCCTTCGGCTCGGGTCATGATCTCGGGGTCCTGGGATCGAGGCCCGCATCGGGCTCTCTGCTCAGCGGGGAGCCTGCTTCCCCTCTCTCTCTCTGCCTCTCTGCCTGCTTGTGATCTCTGTCTGTCAAATAAATAAATACAATCTTTAAAAAAAAAAAAAAAGAATCTGTGCGTGGACACGTGTGTGCAAAAGCAAGTGGACGCCCGGGACACACGGACACCCGCGCCCCGGCCGGCTCACGCGGAGGATGCAGGGCTTCTGAGAGGGGTGCCTGCGCTCTGCCCCGGGATGCCCCGCACAGGCCTTGGGACACACACGTGGGTGGGGGCTCCGCTGACTTGAGTCCTTGGGGGAGGGTCCCTGCAGAGACGGAGGCCCTGTGGGATGCTATCCGCTACCACCCGGGGGACCGGGCACTGAGCTGGGAGCCTGCATGTCCCGTGAGCGGCCACGTGAGCCTGTGCTGGCGCCCGGGGCCAGGGGCCCTCTGCCACAACCTGGAGCACTCTGGCCGGCCGGCGCACCGCAGGGTGAGTAACCCCCGTGGGGGATGGGGGTGGGCGCAGGGGGCGGGGCCTGACCTGAGCGCCGCCCCCCGCCCTCCCCCGCAGGTACAGTATCCGTCCGTGGACACACAGCCCCGGCTCTGCCTGAAGGTGAGTGCGCCAGGTCACCCTGGGCATGGTTAGCACTTAGGGGGATGTAGCAAGGAGAGGTGGAGGGATCCCCGGCATTGGGGCTGGGGCACGCAGCCACACATGCTCCTGGACCCTGCCCAGCCTCCCGGGGACCCCTCTGAGCCCCATCCTGGTCTGACGCTGGAGCTAAGGGATTCTGGGGGAAGGAGGCCCAGTGGGTCCCAGCCCCCCACCAGCCCCGCACACACTGCGGGGACCTCAGGCCTCTCAAGTCCTCTCTGCAGTTCTCCACCAGCCGCAGCTCCTGGGTGCGATGCCCTTTCCAAGAGGGACACTTCCAAGGTGAGCTCTCCAAGGGGCTGCAGGGCAGGGAGGCTGGCCTGGGGCCTTTGCTGTGTGGACACAGCAAACACCACTTTCTTCTGGGTTCCTCAGATGCCTCTGGGTCAGGCAGGTGGGATGACAGGGAGCTGGGTCCGCGGGAGGGAGGAGCGGAACTAGGGGGGTGCTGGGCCTCAACCCTCCGCCCCCACAGCCTGGAAGATGACTGTCCGGCCAGCCGCCTCTCAGGGCCACCTCCGGGTCACCTTCTTCTCGCCCAGTGCCGCCCATTTCCAGGTGCACCTGTGTCACCAAAGGAAGAAGTGGCCGCCTGCCTGCCGCCCAGGGCCCCGGGCCACGACCCACGCCCCAGCCTCAGTGAGCTGGGTGTGCAGGGGGTGGGCTCCTTCCTGGGGAGGGTGGCTGATCCGTTTCCTGTCTGCAAGGCCCTGAGTCAGCCCCTGGAGGCCGCCCGGTGTGGAGGGGTGCCGGGCACTCTGCTACGTGACACAGTCTTCCCCGCCACTGTCTGTGACTGACCCCTCTCCCACCCAGAGTGACTTCGTGACTGACCTTGCGGTGGCCTTTGTGGACATTCCCAGGGAAGAGGCTTGTGTCCCCAACACCTGCATCCAGGTGGGTGGAGTTGCCCCCCCCAGCCCCCACTCACGTCCTGCAGTCCTAGCCCTTGCTTCCCTGGCATCATGGCATCACAGAGAGGGGACTCCGCCCCCCAGAGCTCCTCGGGGGGGCTTGTCAGCCCAGCAGCCTCCCCGGGCCGGGGCCCTGGGGGCTCCAGTCAGGGTACGGGAGGCCGAAGGCCATGCTGACTGAGCTGCCCCGCCCCCCAGGGCTGGAGGACTGACGTGACTTTCTCCGCCCCCCACCAGCTGTGTGACCTGCATTGCAGTGAGTTCCCCCCAAGGGTCTCGGGCCCCAGGGCTGCGGGAGGCCGAGGGCTGGACCCCAACCTCAGCTCTGGGCCCAGTCCCTGTCTCGCGCCTTCAGGGTGGGGGTGGTGAGCCCTGTACAGGACACTGGGCTTTGGTGGGGGACAGAGGGGCCACCTGCCTGGAAGTCAGGCCAGACTCCAAGCCAGGCCAAGGCAGACCCACCCAGACCCACCCCTGACTTGGGGGGGGCAAGGCCCACTCCCCCGCAAGGTCAGCCATGAAGTCACCCTGGGTGTCTGTCACCCCCGACCGGGGCTCTGGTTCCAGCTATCCAGGAACTTACGATGTCCCTCAGCCTACCTTCTCTCGCCGAGCCCCTTCGGCCCAGACTCCTGGGACCTTGGGCTTCACAGGAGACAAAGCGAAGCATGGGGGTCCTGGGTGTGGCCCAGGAGAGTGACCTATGCCTGGGGTTCCTGAGAAGGGCGACGGGATATAAGTGGGGAGCAGACATGGTCACGTGCACATGCTAGAGCCCTCTGGCTGCTGAGGGGAGAGTGGACTGTGGGGGTCTCGGGGGCATGAGGGGGATGGGAGAGGGTAGGGCAAGCACCCACCCAACGCCCCCAGCCTGCCCAGGTCTCCAGGCTCTAGGGCTGCCCCAGTCCTGCCCTCTGCCCCACCGGAAATGCCCTAGAGCCTGGGGAGCGCCTCTTAGACCTCCCTGAGAGGAGATTACCAGCCAAATCTGGGTCCTAATTCCCCAGCAAAGGTCCCCTGTAGCAAATCACAGGCGGAGGGGTGATGGTCATCCCTGGGGCCTGTGTCTGGACTAGGGCTCCCCCACCCAGCAGCCAGATGACCTGAGAGCCGGCCCCAGCCAAGGCCAGAGCCTCCCTGCCGCGCTGGGCGGGTCCCAGAATCCCAGGGACAGGCCCGAGAGCGGAGGGGTGGGTCCGTCTCAAGTGGGAGTGCATCCTGTTTTTGGGGTCCCTGAAGATGGACCGTTGGCCTGCTGCCACGCGCAGACTCTACAGGACGGAGAGCATTTGGGGCCTGTGGTTCCCTCTCTTTCCCCCTGCCACAGGAGCGGGTGACTGGAGGGGGGTGTGCCCTGGACAAGGTTGGTATCGGTACACTGAGCGGGCACCCCTGTTCCTCTCCTTCCAGCCGCCACCCAGGGGACAGCAGACTGAGGCCACGAGCCTCATCAGGCGCCAGCGAGTGCCCCGGCTGAGTACGGGGGCTCAGCGGAGGCCAGCCCCCACCCGAGCTCCCAGGCCTCTGGCAGAGAAAGCCAGGTGTCAGGACTTGGAGGTGGCTCATGGGAGCCCAGGCTGTGGCGCCAGCCACCTTCTGGGTCCCCAGAGGCCCACAGCTCCCTGGGGGCCCTCAGGCCAGGCCCTGGGCTTTGGGTCGGTTGAAGGACTTCCAGCCCCTTCCTGAAGCCCCTTGCTGAAGGCCTACAGAATGGCTGGGTGGGCCGCCCTCTTCCCAGATGGCCTGGCCTCTGACTGCCCTGTCCCTGCTCAGTGCAGCCTCCCTCGGGATCGCCTGTGGTCGTAGCCACCATCCCTGGCCCGAGGATCAGGGCCTGGCAGCTGCCTGATGGCTGCCAGAGCTTTCCCAGGGCTCTGGAGAGCTAAGTGGGAGCCCACATGCTCCACAGCTCCACTGGCCCAGGACCAGCTTCAGCTCCTGCCCTGAGCCCTTGCACACTGACCAGGGTCCCCAGGCCGGGCCACCCAACCCCCTGCACCAGCCCTCCCGGAGGTCAGTTCGCCCTCCACTCTCTGGCCCCCCGGCCTGGCCCATCCAGGGAGGGCTCGCCACTTCCTGTGGCCTTAGGAGGTCCCTGCCAGGACGGGCAGTTCTCGGAAGTGTCCCACTCGCTGATGGCCACTGCAGGGGGACCCTCGGCCCTGCAGTGGGGTCTCCACAGCCCAGGTCAGGGTCACCCGGAAGCTGGGCTGTCAGATGTGCCCCACAGACTCTGGTGCCGCACCCAAGGACTACCAGGGTGCCCCCCTGAGCTGCGGTCATCTGGAGGCCGGGCATCCTCTGCACCTGACCTCCGCGCTCCCAGGGATGGGCGCCCCCGGCCAGCCCCATCTCCACAGCCGGCAAATCCAGGGCCAGGCTCCGCTGTCCCCCCTGCCCTCTTCTGTCAAGGGGGCTGACACCCCCAGTGACCTAGGGGGTGGGCCAAGCCAGTGTGCCCCCCACCTTCAGTAAACACTTGTCCACTAGCTTGCCTCTTTCCTTGAGGACAGAGATGGGGTCTGCGGGGCGAGGAGGCCCCTTGGGGGAAGTGGGTTGGTGAGGAGGGTTATGGGGTTAGGGCTCCGGAGGGAGGCGAGGGTGGAGGCCCAGACCGCAGAGAGAGCCTGCTGGCCCCCAACCACGTGCGAGCCCCCAGGTGGTCCCCGAAGACACCCCTGCGACTGGAGACGCCACTACCGCACCGGCCTGCCCCCGGGCCCTGTGTGGGAGGGAGAGCGAGAGGAAGAGGGGTGTTCAGCCGGTCCACGTTGGTGCTCAGCCCCACGACGGATGGGGGTGGGGCGGGGGCACCCTTTCCTGAAGCCCCTTCTAGAGTCTTCGTAAAGTGGCTGCCAGAGGCCAGGTCAAGCCAGGAGCTGACAGAGGGTGGGACGTTGGGGGCATGGGGGTCAGGGAGGCCTCGCCCTCGGGCCCCAGGCCGCCCACTCCCACCCTGGGTCAGGCTTTAGGGGCTGCCTATGGTTCTGCACTCACCACGTTTCCTCACTGCCTGGGATTTGGGGGCACGGAGTCCTCTGGAGGTCCTTGTCTGCCCACGGTGCTCCCTCCCCATCAAGGCCCAGGCGGGGTGAGGGACCAGAGTCCGGCTGTGGATGGGCTGTCCCCTCCTGGAGTTCCTGCTCCCTCACCGGGTCCACCCAGGAGCCCTGTGGCCACGCAGAGACCCTGGCTCAGACCCAGGGCTGCCCCTGGGAACCTGGCCTGCCTGGAGTGGACCAGGGAGAGGCATGGGAGCCGACCGGGTGTAGGCTCCCTCCAGACTTGCTGCGGCCTTGGCCTTCCACAGATCTGGAAATCTGAGGCCCAAACAGAGGCCGTGACTGTTCCTCTCAAGAGGTTCAGGGCTACAGGGAATGAGTGGAGGATCGCCTTCTTGGGTCCCAGGTGCCCCGTGGTCCCCATGTGTGCTGCCACCAAGTGGCAGTTGTGCTCAGCGATCCAACCTCCACACAGAGACCTTGACCACGCCCAGTGGCCTGGGGCGTGAACCGGGATGATCTCAGGCCCCAGTACAGGGAGGACCAGAGGGAGGGGCTGGGTCCCCCACCCAGGGCTCACAGTTGAACTGGAGGGCAACTTTGGGACATCCGTGTGTCCCACTCATTCTCCGATCCTCAAGCAGTTCTGACTACCCCCGGGCACCCGACTGACCCAGTGCGAGAAGCGAAGATCACCGTCGCTGCAGCGGGGACCGAAGGGTCTGCCCTGGACTGAGGGGCGGACCGGGTCAGCACTCTCAGCCTCAAAGCCCAGCAAATGGGGACCATCGGTCACCCCGTCTGGAGCTGATGTTTGCGTGGGGGAGACAGAGCCCAAACAGGCTAGAGACATCAATGATTTGGGTGTTCCATGTCCGTGTGAGGCTGGGGACGCAGATAGGAAGTGGGGGGGGGTGCCAGGTGGAAGAGGATGGTCCTGGTGCCCCAAGAGCAGAGACGGCAGGGGTGAAGGGTCATAAGCTACCTGGTTCTAGCAGGATCTGACTGGCGAGAGGTGGGATGTGGCAGGCAGATGGGGCCACGGGACGTCCTGGCATGGGTTCCACGAGTGTGAGTGAAACACCAACATTTTGGCCTCGGTGACTGGAGGGCAGAGCTCCATGGCTGACGAGGGGACACAGTGGCTAGGGTTGGTGTCTGGACACGCTAAGTTGGGGCTCCCTGTTGGACACTGAGTTACTCGCCAGGGCGGACGGAGTGACTGCTGTGTGCCCACTCCCTTGGGGGCTGGTACGGACACGCAGAGCCCGACGCGGGCTGGATCTCAGGACCCTGGGATCATGACCTGAGCCAAAGGCAGAGGTTTAACCCACTGAGCCACCCAGGTGCCCTGCATGTGGCTTTGAGTTACTGTCTAGTGTCCTTTCATTTCAGCCAAAAGGAGTCTCTTTAGCATTTTAAAAAAGTGTTATTTATTTGACAGAGAGAAAGGGAGCATAGGAGTGCGCAGGAGCAAGGGGAGGGAGAAGCAGTTTCCCCAACAAGAGAACGACGGATGAGCAGGGAGCCCCGTGCAGGGCCCTGAGATCATGACCTGAGCGGAAGGCGGATGCTTAAGGACTGAGCCCCCCAGCACCCCTATTTAGCATCCTTTGTCCACAGGTCCCCTAGCAACGAGCTCCCTCGGATCTGATTTATCGGGGAACGTCTTGCTTTCCCTTTTGTTTTTGGAAAATAGATTTTACTGGCTACAGAATTCTTGGTTGACAGGGTTTTGTTTTCTTTTGTTTTGTTCTTACATCTTCCAGGACATTAAGGCCTCATCCCACCGCCTTCTGGTCTGCAAGGCTTCTAGTGAGACGCCCCTTAAAACAGTACTGAGAGGGGCGCCTGGGTGGTGCCTGGGTTAAAGCCTCTGCCTTTGGCTCCGGTCATGATCCTGGGGTCCTGGGATCGAGCCCCGCATCGGGCTCTCTGCTTGGCGGGGACTCTGCTCCCTCTCTCTCTCTGCCTGCCTCTCTGCCTACCTGTGATCTCTGTCTGTCAAATAAATAAAATCTTTAAACAACAACAACAACACAACACAGTCCCGAGGATCTCTTGCACGTGACCAGCCATGCCCCTCTCGCTGCTTTAAGATTCTCTGTGACCTTGGCCTTTGACAACTTGGCCATAGCGTGTCCTTCATTCCGCTTGGACTTCGCTGAGGCTCTTGGGTACACAGATTCATGTCGGTCATCAGATTTGGGGCGTATGGGCCGCGTTCTCTCCTCTCCTGGGGTTCCCGGGCTGTGCGCTCAGCGGTCCTGCCGGCTGCCGGTGTCCTCACTGTTTCTACTTCTGCTTGCGTCGGGGATGCTGCGGGGTCCGCGTCCCCGCACCTGCTCCTCTGTGCCCAGCCTGCCGAGGCGCCCCGGAGCCCAGCCCGTGGGCCCTTCTGTCAGCCGTTGTGCTTTCCAGCTTCAGATGTTCTATTTCGTTCCTTGTCGCAACTCCTCTCTCTCACCGGCGTTCCCTCTTTGTTAGTACCCTGTTCTCCTGATTTCCTTTACCTCATTGCACATATAAGAGACACTGGATTCAGCGTCTTTGTCTCTTAATTCTGATGTGTGTGCCTCTTCCGAGCTGGTTTCTGTATCACTCTCTTTCCTTCCGCTGAGAATGCACCGCACGCCCAGGTCTATGCACACTTCGTACCTTTGCGGGGCCCCGACGATGAGGAGGACGACGCAGGCTGAGGGCCACAGTCTCGCTCGCCGGGAGCCACTGAGTTTTCCTTATCGGAGGTTAATCTTGCGTTTGTTTAGTGACTTCCAAACTGTGTCTGCAAAGTATTTCTCATTCCGTGTGGCCACGGAACTTCTGGTTCTCTTATTCCTGTGCTCACCGAGTGACATAATAGAAACTTCCTTAAATGTAAATATTTACGGGACGCCTGGGTGGCTCAGTAGGTTGAGCAGCTGCCTTCGGCTCAGGTCATGGTCCCGGCATCCTGGGATCGAGTCCCGCGTCGGGCTCCTTGCTCTGCGGGGAGCCTGCTTCTCCCTCTGCCTCTGCCTGCCATTCTGTCTGCCTGTGCTCGCTCTCCCTCTCTCTCTCTGATAAATAAATAAAATGACTTTAAAAAAAAATGTAAATATTTACGTCTTTCTGGAGACGCCACAATAAGGAACAAGAGAAAAACCAAAAACCCAGCAAGCTATACTTGAAACTAGCAGGAGGGGGAATAACTAGCAAGAGGAAGAAAATAATAAAGATTAGCATAGACGGGCACCTGGTGGGCTCAGTCGGTCAGGAGGCTGCCTTTGGCTCAGCACACGGTCCTGGGATTGGGCCCACGTTGGGCTCTGCTGGGGGTGTCTGCTTCTCCCTCCCTCTTGCCCCTCACCCCACTTGTGCTCTCTCTCTCTTTCATAAATAAATAAAAATCTTAAAAAAAAGGTTAGTGTGGAAATAAGTGATGTGGAAAATACAAAAATAGAGAAAGCCAATGAAATCAAGTTAGTTCATTAAAAATATCAACAGAATTGACACACCTTTAGCTAGACTGACTAAAAAGAGAGAAGACGCCAATTAATAAAAGGACAAATGAAGTGAGGACATTACTATTAATTTTACAGAAATAAAAAGGATTTAAAAGAAGTAAAGTGCATTATATGAGCATACCGTAAGCTATCGTACAGCAACAAACAGGAAAACGTCAACGCAACGGACAAACTCTTAGAAACACACAAACTCCCAAAACTGAGTCGAGAAGAACGAGAAAATCCGCATAGACAGAAGAGACGGAACCCACAACCGAAACCCTCCCCACGAAGAAAAGCCCAGGGTTAGAGGGCGTCATTGGTGAATTCAAACATTTTAAGAAGAATTAACTTCCCAAACTCTTCCAAAAGATAGAAGGGGAAACACTCCTAACTCGTCACTGATTCTAAAGCCAGTAAGACACTACGAGAAAAGCACGGCCCGATCCAGGATCGCGAGGACAGATCCGAAGCCCTCCACAAGCCGCTAGCCCGCCGAACCGGACGCACCCCGAGGGGCTCCCGCGCCGTGACCCAGCGGGGAACGCAAGTGTGATCCAACACACAGACAGCGACCAACGTGACCACAGCACAGCTATCGGGCGAGGAGGAAGGAGACGCGTGAGCATCTCCGTGGGAGCAGGAAAAGCATTTGACAAAATCCAACGGTCTTTCATGATAAGGACACTCGGTAAACTGGGACTAGACGGGAACTTCCTTGCCGTGACAAAGGTCGTCCACACATGACCAACTCACAGCGCGTCATACTCATCGGTGAAGGACTGACAACTTTATCCTAAGCTCAGCCGCAGGACAGGGAGGCCCCCTTTCAACCTTCGAACGGTCCTGACCGCGCCAGCCAGCGCGGCTAAACGGGAAACCGGTGTGAAAGCCGTTGAAGTTGGCGAAGAATTCAATTCCCTCTACTTGCAGATGACGTGACTCTATATGCAGAAAAGCCCGAAGACTCCCACGGAAACACTTTCAGAGCCAACAGATGAA